AAACACGTGACCAGATACTTAACTTAAATCCTGTTTGGCTCAAAGGCTCCGGACCTTCTTCGACTCCCGACACACATGTGATGTCAGTCACGCTTCTATGCTTAAATATTTAAATAAAAATACATAAGCGCACTGAAAATGAGTCCAAATATAAACGCATTTCATGAATAGATGAATAAATGATAAACTTTAACTTTAAAGCTGAGTTTGTCCTCACAGACAGAGTCAACAACAACACTGGCCAAAAAGTTATTAAGCTAATACTGAACTATATGAAGTCATCACAGGAGGCTCGGACGCCTTGCTCAAGGGGACTGCAGCAATTAGGACCAGGGGTTGTGCGTCTGCCTCACTTTCCGCTCTCAGTCTCTCCCTGAACTGTCAGGAGGGTTGAACCAGCACATGAATAACACAACAGTGATGTTGAGGCAAACAAAGGACCTCCTGCATGCATTTTGTGCACCTGTTTCCCTGAAATAGGAATATCAGTGTTGAGAGTGGAGGGAGGGAGAAGCAATTTTGCTCTGGTTTTCTGAGATTAGATATGCTGTGACTCAGATACAAATTACTTGGGCGTGTGTGTGTGCTGCCGTTGGTGTGTGGGTTTAGGTGGGGGAAGGGGTGATGTAAGGTGTAGCGCCACAGGAATACATGTGCTCCTTCAACAGAGGGAATACATACGACTTTCAATGCGCGCTCAGTCAAGTCAGCTTTGACGAGACATTCATTTTGAACCACTTGCGACAACCGCTCTTTAAAATGACAGCCGGCACACACACCTGAACATTGTTGAATACTGCTGAGGAGCACGTCTGCCTTTGGCCTTCTTCTTACTGAAACAAAAGACTTTCCACCAGCAAGAAACAAACCTGCAAGAAAAAAAAAAAGCAGCTACATGTTTGTATTGTTTATGATAACAAATCATGTCATTTCCTTCTCCTCTGTTTTCTTTTCAAGCTCTCTGTGCATGAAGTGGAGGACAATCCCTCTGGTCACATTCTGGTCATGAAAGGAGCGCCAGAGAGAATCTTGGACAGGTTGGTTAATCAATAACGGATTGATTATATGTCTCAGAGGGAGAAAAAAAAAGAAGCAGAAAATGTGACTGGTCTTTCATTTACCGTTTCATTCTTTTCTATGGCTGCATGGAGAGATACTGCTCTTTTGAAAAGCAGCAACATTCTGTGTGTTTCTCTCCTATTATCAGTGAAAAGATGAAGAAAAGCGGCATCATTCTAACGTGTTGTATCCGGTGCCTGATAGAGTTTATCCATCTGTGCTAAACCTCCAATGAAAACATGTCAGGCAGCCGCGCTGTTGAACTGGATGACATGGTCCTTCAGGAACATGAGCACACACGCTCTAGTTTATTTAGACTTAATCTTACATGCACCATCCGGCTGCAGTCACCAGAGCACCAAACGTATATTAATCTGCTGGTGAAAGTAAATTCACCATGTCCTCCTGCTGCAGCAAAATGTAACCCTGTCACCTACAAATTATGTCTCTATACAGCTGAGTTGCTTTCCCACTTCCCAAGGATTTTTTTAAACTTGTTATCATGTCCATATGGTGTGTTTTTTTATATATGCTGGAGGACATATCACCAGCTAAATAAGCAGTTAACATTGAGTCATAAGGGAGCTGGTGTGCTTAGACTGCAGCTACAGGAGAGAGGCAAGCAACAGTGTAGAGGTACAAGTAAGCTATTTAAAGGCAGGGAGGGATTATTTTCATGGGGGAAAAAAGTCTAAATACAGAACTTTCGGCAGCTTTCCGCTGCAGGAACTGAAGGGAAACANTCTGAGTTCTCTCCACTCCGAGCCACGGCGGTGCTGTTTCCGGTGAGATGCAGGATTTTATGTTGCAGTGAAAATGAGCCCACAGTGAGTAAAAAAATGTGACAGGAGCAAATAAAGAACGGCCAGAAAATGCTTGAAGCTCAGAGGTTTAAAGGGTAAACAAGCGTGTTTTGCTGGTGTTTTCACTTCAAGGTGCATCAAGAGATGCGAAGAACGACTATTAATTTTTAATAAAAAAACCCAAAACTCTCTTGATAATAAACAAACAAAAGCATCACTTTCTGTGTAGAAACTCAGTTCTGTGCCGTTGTTTTCTACATTATAGATCAGAGGCTCTTCAGTTAAGTTACGGGCTTCGTTACATCCTGAAAGAGTTGTTGTGGAAAAAGATGAAACTTTATTGTCATCGCACAGTCGTACAACTAAACGCAGTCTTTTTGCATATCTCGGCTTGTTAGGAAGCTGAGTGCATGGTCATCCACACTACAGCGCCTCTGAAGTAGAAAGGTTAAGGGCCTGGCTCAGGGGTCCAGCACTTGAACCCCTGACCTTCCGATCAGGGCCTTAAACACTGAGCTAGCCTTGTGAATGCCAAAAAGTGCATATAACTCTTAGAACGTAGGGGAAAAAAAACACATAAAACACGTGGAGGTCACTGATAAAATACATACAGAAGGGTGACAAATTAAAGGAAAAACCAACATAAAGTGTCTTATGAGGGTGTTAGGCCACCAGAACAGCTCTAATCCTTCTTGGTGTTGATTCTCCAAGTCTACTGGAGGGATAGAACACCATTTCCCCCAAATCATATCACCTCAATTGGTGTTTAGATGATGGTGGTTGAACCTTGGTGACTGATAAAGGCATAGCATGTGAATCCATCCATCCATCCATCATCTATACACCGCTTAATCCTCACTAGGGTCATGGGGGGCTGGAGCCTATCCCAGCTGACTTAGGGCGAAGGCAGGTTCACCTGGACAGGTAACCAGTCTATCACAGGGCTACACTTAGAGACAGACAACCAAGCACACTGCATGTGAATCTAACTTCATCAAAACATTCAGTGACGCCCTATGCCCGATGGATGGATGCAATGGAAGAAGCCATTTCATCCACTGGATGAAGGTGATCGCTCAGACGTCTACTCTGTATTCATTTTCATTGACAAATTCTCTCAAAGGGAAAACATTGGAGTGAAAAAAGGCCTCCACGGCTTAACAAAACCACCAGATTCCCTCACGGTAGGGGTCAGTGACTCAGGCTGCTCCTTCGGTTCGTCATTCGTCTGTATATATAGACCATCAGGAATCTGTCAGCGATCTCAAACAAAAAAACAACTTTTATAATAAAAGGGAGACCAAAGAAATTCATTTGTCATGGTTGGTGTTTCTCAGTCCCAGAAGTTTTTTTTTTTAGTGCAAATAATAATTAATAGTACAAGAACTTTTCAAGGGGCTGCAAGGTGGCGCAGTTGGTAGCACTGTTGCCTCGCGTCCCGGTGGGGGCA